AGAAATCGGGGCAGGCTTCCCAGAGATGGTGCTGAGTGGGGCCCCAACTGAGACGGGAGAAATCGGGGCAGGCTTCCCAGAGATGGTGCTGAGTGAAGTCTTGGGGTTGGGGTGAGGACGGGGAAGAGACAGCAGGAGAGGCACGTCCCAGCAGAGAGGACAGCATAAACAGAGGCCTAGAGACCTGGGTAGCAGGACAACCCCTTCACATCCCATCAGGAAGGACAGGCAGTGACAACAACAAATTGCAGGCCATGTGAGAATGTGGGAGGGACAGGGCCCTTAGGGCCACTTTCTATGAAGAGTTGAAAGAAACAGAGACCTTGAACAAAGAGAAGGAGACACTGAGAGGGGCACCACCTTCACGTTCTAGGGACAGCACTAAAAAGGGAAATTGCAGGGAGGTGGACTTTTCAACAGTTGGGGCTGCCCCGAAATGGAACTGAGACTTTCCGAGTCAGTAGCTAGACTCTCCCCGACAAGCGTTCTGGCAGAGGCTGGACACCACCTGCCAGGGAGCAAACAGAGAGCTACACCCACGGGTCTGAGAGAGGCCAGAGGGACAATGCAGCATGCACACAGGAGGGCCTGCCTGGATGGGGATGGGAGGTCAGGAGAAACTAGAAGATGCCTTTCAGCAGGAAGTCTCCGTGTAGAGCCAGTGCCAGGGCAAACTGGACACCCAGGAAGAGAGTTAGAGCTGCCATGGTGCCTTGCTGCACTGTGCTAACCAAGTTGTCCTCAAGCTACACCTTGATGAAGATGGTGTCCGTCAAAGCAGAGTCAAGGAGGCTTTTATGAGTTTGCCATCAGCATCAAGACCCACCCCAGGTCAAGGACCTACCATGTGCTCGGATGATGGGCTGTGCAGCTGCACATACACCCCAAGGGCACCCTGCAGACAGATCTCCACCTGCCCCCAGGCAGTCTCTGCACTAACCCCACTGGTCAGGATGGCTGTACCCTGTCCTTACCTGGCTGTTTCACGGTTACTTCTGTGCGCCCCGAGACCTCCTCTGCCAGCTTGTACCAGGCATAGTTGGGGCTCAGCAGCCACTCCTCCACGTGGCAGTAGTAGCTGCCACTGTCACTGACCTCGGCTCTCTGGACAGTGAGGCTGAACAGGCCCCCGGACGCATGCCTCTCAAACTGGAGCCTCGCTCTCAGGCCCTCCTCCTCAGCATAGGTGCCGTACTCAAAGGAGGAGTTGTGCGTGGTTTTGAGAATGAGCTTGCCGTCAGCATCCGAAGGCTTGTGAACGTACCAGAGCACCGCAAAGTGAGAGTTCTGGCTGGTCTGAGACTTGACTGAGCAGTTCAGCTGGATAGGTCTGTTTTCCACCAGTGTTAGGGTCCTCTTTGATTTGCTCACCTGCAGCTTTGTCACTGAGAAAGGAGGGGGAAGGGGAAGGGTTCAGTGGAATTGCCACACGCTCCTAGAAACAAATGTCCCCATCCACTTCCAGGCTCCAAGGCTGGTTTTGGCCAGCAAAGTTCCTAGAGGACTTAACCTTGACTGGCGTCCTCCAAAACATGGCTCACTGTGAGGAAAGCAGCTCGGAGCTGAGCTCACCCCCACGTCCCTCCCTGCCATGCCCCTGACTTAGGGCCTTACCATCTCTCCCCTGGGCCAAAAGATGGGACAAAACCAACCCCAGCCTCCTCCCCCTGGCTGTCCTACTCTAAAAACAGTGGGTGGACTGCAGACTGCTGCCCCAGCACCCTATTCCCTGCCTGCTTTCCTGGCCATCACACAACCTCCAGGGTGTGAGGTGGATCCAGCTAAAACAAAAATCTACCCATATCATGCCTCTGCCTTTAATGGCTCCCATGGTAGGTTGGAGAGAAATGATTCCTTTCCACAGCACGAAGTCCCTCCAGGACTTGGCCTCACCCCGCTGTCCTAAGACTCACTTCCCACGAGGCACCTTCCCCACCCCCCGTGCGACACACATGATGCAGTCTGCCCTTAGCTCCAGTCTTTGCCCCTGCTGTCCTCTCTGCCCGTCTTCTCCTACCACCTCCTGCGTTGACCCTCTTTCCACTCTTGCCTCAAACCCATCCCTGGTCTAGATGCCTTTCTTCCCCAGGCTGCTTTCCCTCACATCTCTCTTCCACCCTAGGCTGTGAGCTCCCTGAGAGCAAAGGTCAAGTTTTTTCCCACTCAGTCAGCCAAAATCTATGGCGTACCGACTCTGCTTCCCACAGGATGCTGAGCACTGGCAGAGTCCAGCCCCATGGAGTCCAGTGCCTGTTGGACACCCCCTCACACGTGCCCAGAGCTAGCACCGACCCTGGGTGGGGGAGTACTCTATCGGTGTTAGGAGAAACAGGTGAGCAAGCGGGCGAATGGGTGGGAAACGGAGAAACATGCAGCAGGTGATGAAAGGTAATTAGAGAATACAGGAGGACCTGCCACAGGGAGAGAAGGCCACGAGGGCAGTGAGCCAAAAGACGGGACTGAACCAACCCCAGCCTCCTCCCCCTGGCTGTCCTACTCTAAAAACAGTGGGTGGACTGCAGACTGCTGCCCCAGCCACTAAGGATGGAGTTCACCTCCATGGTGCCAAGAGGCCAAGGCCTAATGAAATATATCTCTGGGAGATAATCTGAGCTCTCACCCACTCCACCATCCTTATACCTGGCTCTATCCTCCACTACCCACCCGATCCCCCAACTAAAATTGAAAAAAAAGGAGGCTTGGCACCTGTAGCTCAGTGGCTAGGGCGCCAGCCACATACACCGGAGCTGGCAGGTTCGAATCCAGCCCAGCCCTGCCAAACAACAACTACAACCAAAAAATAGCCAGGTGCTGTAGCAGACACCTGTAGTCCCAGCTACTCAGAAGGCTGAGGCAAGGGAATTGCTGAAGCCCAAGAGCTGGAGGTTGCTGTGAGCTGTGATGCTACGGCATTCTACCCAGGGAAACATACTGAGACTGTGTCTCAAAAAAAAGGAGAAAGAATTCTAAGTACCTCTTAAGAGAATGGACGGCCAAGTATCGTTCCACCTCTACTACTCTCTTCCTGCCTAGCTTTTTGGCCACAGGGAGCAAACTGCTACCCAGCTAAGAAAGAAACCTGGGCCACGGTATAGGCCCCATGGAGAAGAGCAACCTGGGTCTCTTCCAACAGGCTTGCCTCGGGGCCTATGTCCAGCATGCTGCTGGTTAGTCTCCTGTTTCTTAAGGCCAGCGTCCAGCTCAGGACCAAAATCACATCCAGATACAGGTCCCAGCTCCCTGGTGTGAGCCTGGTCTGCAGCTGCTTACACTTGGTTTGCAAAAGCAACATCAAGGGCTGAGTCCCATGTGTCAAGGATTCAAAACTTTTGGAAACCACAGACTGCCACCTGGTTCTCCTGGAAACGCACAGACAAATGTTCAGAATGAATGGGAGGATTAAGCAAGCAAAGGTGTGGCAGTATCCGATACCCAAGGTTATCACTGCAAAAGCCACTCTGAGGACACACCTCCCAGCAGTAAATCAGACAGTCTTCAGGGAGGACTGTTGAAGTCACATACTTACAAACCCTCCGACACCATCAAGAACACAGCAGGCACCTCTTAGAGAGAATCCGTGTCCTGCAGCCCCACCCTTCTGGGTTCATCTTTTTTGTTAACAAGGTTAGTCTTCTGCCTTCTCCCTTCTTCAAAGTCCTCCAGGGCACACTGGGAATCCAGGGCAGGGTTTCCCATTAAGCCCCCCAAGCTCTGGAAGCTACATGTGCATTAGTTCACCGGTCGGACTGGGTTCCTGTAATACCCCAAACCACCAGCTCCCTTTTCATTCCTCTCCAACCCAATTCACCACATGCAAATGATATCTCTATCAGTGCAAATTACACCACCTGAATTATCTGATTCTTGGCCAAAAAAACTGGGTTGTTCAGTGTTGAGTAGAAAGAGCTTTAAAATGTATTATTAATTGGGGCCGGATTATTTTTGCAACTGTTACCAAGGAAACCTGAATTGCCATAGTAACCGCATATGTTAAACTGGAACCCTATGACTAAACTTCAATTCCGTCACATGGTCTGAGAATAAGAATCCAAGGAAGATAAATGTTTCAAAGCACTTCTATTTTTTTTCCCTTCCCATGTCAAAATATTGTGAAATGCTGAGAAGACTGAAAGAGAGGCATTTTTAAAATATGATGGATGACAGGGGGGCCAGGGGTCAGCTCTGTTCTGCACTCTGGTTTCCCTCCTACATCTCAAGGGCAGGGAGGACATTTCTTAGAGCTCAGGGAAGACTGAAGATTCCACCTCTAATTAGGAAGCACTCATGTGTCCTGCCATGGCACTGCCCTGGAGGGGTGACGTCCAGCTATGGCACTGCCCTGGGAGGGGTCAGGCCTCGCCAGGGTGCTACTCAGGAGGTATGTGGCCTGTGTGAATCACTTCCTTCACAGCTAACTGTGAGAGCCCAGCCCCTGTAAGGACCACAGTGTTTCATGTGCAAAATGAGCCCAATGACAGTATCTACCCCATTTGTTCTACAGACTAAAATCAATAGTCCTTACGAAGAGTTTAGCACAGAACCTGGTAGATAATAATGCTCAGTAAATTTTATAGTAGATAATAATACTCAATAAATTTTAGCTATTTTCCACGGAGATCTTCCTAAATGGCAGTTGGGGGCATGTTACTCCCCAGCTTCGAGGCTGTTCCTGGCTCCACACCCCAGGGTCTGAGACCCAGGGCAGCCAACTGTACCCACTTCTGCAGTTATCATGTTAGTCTGGGAAGGGGAAGATAGTTAACGACTAAAGCCAGTGAAAGATGTAAAACTGTATCTGGGACAACTGTATACAACACAACTCTGCCTCATCGTGTCCTGTGTGATTCTTGAATGACATTCACAGAGGTGAAAATTATGTCTCTGATTTTAAATAGGAAGGTGAAAGATCACTCCAGAAAAGGGGGACAGGTGAGCAAGGATGATGACAAACTCTCTGTGCACTGAATCCAGGGAACAGTGAGTAGTCAGGTGTGACTGGACCAAGTTAGAAAGAGAAGCTAGAACCTACTTTTGTTTTACTATAAAACCAGCGTTTTTCAACCTTTTTTTATCTCATGGCACATCTGACCTTATAGTTAAAACTTCCACGGCACACTTATGTTGATTAAAAAAAAAAAAAAAGTTAAAAAAAAGAATATACTTTTTTTTTATTGAATGGTAACTATGTACATTAATGCACTTCTAGGGGTACAGTGTGGTGTTTTCACATACAATCTGAAACATTTCCATCAAACTGGTTAACATAGCCTCCATGTCATTTTCTTAGTTATTGTGTTAAAACGTTCATATTCTACTCTTAGAAAGATTCAGAATATACTTATTGTTCTTTGAACTTCTTCTGAAAATAATTAACGATCTTTAAAAATTTTTGTGGCACACCTAAGATTCTCTTGTGGCACACTGGTTAAAAATCACTGCTATAAGCAATACTTTGAGTTTTCATGGTCTTAATATATGCCGGGTCCATCAGGAGAAGATTTTCCTTTGTTTTGCTCGGAATTGTAGCAAGAGTTGCTTAGGACTTTGAAAACCTCGTCCAGGACAGCAATGCTGCTGCTTGGGGTGCCCAGTCTCTGCCACGGGGGTCATCAGCACAAGCTCAGGGCAGGACTTACTCTGCCAGCCCCATCACTGACCATGACTGTGCCTGTGTTTACTATAAGCAACTACAGTTAAAAAAAAATTTCCTTCTTTATCTCACAATTAGGGCAGTATAGCAAGTTTTAAAGGTTATATGATTAGGAATGTTATATTGTCTATGAATTTCATTTCAGGATAGTAAACGAACATGATAAATTGCTTTTAAAAAGTAATATACAATCTGGGGCGGCGCCTGTGGCTCAAAGGAATAAGGCGCCAGTCCCATATGCCAGAGGTAGCGGGTTCAAACCCAGCCCTGGCCAAAAACTGCAAAAAAAAAAAAGTAGTACACAATCTGAGTATAAGCTGAAGCTCTAATTCCTTAGTTTACTCTAATTTCTTTAACAAATTTTCCTATAGTCCTTTTATGTGCTCAGTACGATTCTAAGAACTTTAGAAATGTTAAACATTTGGTCCTCAGAGGTCCTATGAAATAAATATTATTCCCAGTTTTATAAAGATACTTGGTCAAGGTCACATAGCCAGTTAAGTGCTAGACTAGGAGTTCAAAGCCAGTTTGTCCTTGATTTTGGCTACTGCTTACAGCTACTCTCCATGCTCCCCTGTACAAAAGGGGTTCCCTGGTCCTTGCCAACCTTGCCTCGGGGTGAACCACTCCCAGAGCCCATGCTTCAGTTATTTCAAGATAAAAATTCTGCTTCCTTCCTCAACCCTGAAGTGCACCCCTCCATCTTCCCTCCCCACACAGGTTCCCTTCTCACAC